TATCCAGGCATACATTACTCAAAATAATGCAGATCTGCAGAATGTGATTTTGCATTTATGCACTATTTTAACTCTTTCCACTTAATTTACCCAACGCGAAAATTTCACCCATATGTCAATTCATCAATAATGAATTCTAGCTGGCATTGGCTCTGGCCAGAAGTTATCAATTTAAATGTTTTCCCATTTTAATGACTCCCAGTTTTTAAACCTTGTCAAGAATAAAAATAAATTGTCAATAACAGTCCTAATGTAAACTAATTAAATTTGGCAAAATAAAGTGCGTGTGCTATTTCTTTAACTACTGCAAGAGTAAAGCTTCAAATGAATTAAAAGAAAATGAAAGCCATTCGGTTCTGAATAAATTTTGATATGTGTTGCAGTTCAGTATGATGATTACTGTTCTACACTGTATTCTTTATTTTGTAATGTAATTTCAACGAATGTTCTTTTCACCATTTTTTTATGATTCTTGCATTTGAAATTTGGATTGGCACCATAATAATAAAAACTGTGAGTAGGCTGCATGTTAATGTTTTCTTTTTTTCAAAAGTAGGTTTATAATTTTTGATTTGCCAACAACTGAGGATGATAAAAGCTATGAGTAGCCGGCATTTTAATGTATTTTCTTTTTCTTTCTGTTAAAAATTTTTATTTACCAACAAATGAAGAAGATGCTACATCATCCCTCTGAGAAAAAGTTCTCTGAGAAATTTCGCTGCACATCTGAATATGGGAAAATAGTCACTAAACGAAACTGTACACAAATGAAAGTATCTGGTTTTAACAAAACTCTTCCGACAAAAAACGTAAAACATTCTAAATAAAGTTAGGAAAAAACAAAAACCATGAAAGCAGTACCTTTAGTGCAGCTAGTAATCACTACCCAAATCCTTCTTAAACCAGCCACAGCCTAAAGCTCAGATGCATTTAACTTTCCAGATTACAGATCAAGCCATTAACAGGTTACATAACCGATTGGGCGATAAAGTTTGCCCATTCTGTCAACTATGCATGGTGAGGTTATAATATGAAAGAAACTAAACTAAAGTCAGTGGCGCAACAGCTCTAGTGGGCAAGCAGCCCTAGCGGGCCAAGACCAGCAGTGCCCCGAAATCTGCTTTCTTGACTGTGGGCAATGGGATGCGTAAGCATATGCCCTGAACAAGTGGTCAGCTTGTTGCAGGACCCCCAGTATTTAGTCCCCAAGCGAATGTGGTTCTCATTTTATCGACCCAAGGGATGAAAGGTTGAGTCGACCTTACACTGCCTGGGGATCAAACCCCAGACCTGTGGTGCTGCTGCATGATGCGCTAGCCAATGCACCAACGGAGAATAAGGAAGACTCAAAAATATTATCATCCAAATAAAACACAAAAAATAAGTCCAATACTACAATTTTCTGGAACAACAGAATGTTCTTTCAGCATTTTCTATCATTAAAAGCTATCTTTTAACTGAAAACATAAGCCATTGCCACAACATCATTCTTTACAAGAAATAACAAGCAAATAATGGAACTCTTGTTAAACGAATGGTCCATGCTACACAAAACAAATCACTAATGTCATTTATGATGTCATTTCTGTATACATAACAAAAATACACCAATGCAAGTAATAATTTTAAGAAACAAAATAAATATTTGCATACAAAGTTAAAAAAAATCATCAAAATGCAGATTAATAATCTTATCGGTAAAATGCCTTAAATTACATTCAATTGCACAGGTCTCATCTTTTACAGCATACTTTACAAAAGTCAAAAATCGATGATACTAGCAAGCATTCATCAGCAAACTCTGACAAATGAGAAAATGCAGAGTTATTTAAAAAAAAAAAAAAATGTGAATCCAAATTACAAGTACACTTGGATCAAAATTTGACTTTTTTTCACAGCTTTTCATGATAACAGCCAGTGGCAGATTAATGACGTGTACTCATCTTAATTTGACTTCCTAAGACTAGAAATTAGAGGCCTCTCGCAAGTGCAACTTCATAAAACTTCAGATAATGATGACTGCAAAACATATTGAAATAGTTAATTAATTTATGGCTTATGATCATTATAAAGTGACCAAATTTTCATTGAGACAAAGTGGGACAAATGGAATGAAATGAGAATTATAATTTAGTTATGAAAGCAGACCAATAATTCAAAAAAATATATTTTATTATATACATTCATATACTTGTCTATAAATGTACAAACATATATTTACTATTAAATATTGGTAACTTTAAAATATTTGTAAAAAATAATAATTTGAATATTATGCTTTTTTAATTATTTAATATTTTATTAAAAAAAATGATTTTCTTTCACGGTTAAATTTTTTATCCGAGTGTATACTTTGCAATAGATTTGGATCATTTTTTTCAATTGTCCATATTTTATTGATACTATAAAAAACACGTTCTGTTGCTGCATTTTATTCTGGAAGGGAGAGTGTGTGTTCTACAATTTTCATAAGGAATATTATTCTGTTTAAAATGAAGGAATAACTCCGTCCATTTTTTGTCTCTTTCCACATTTGCATACAACCAACACTTAATTTTTAAATCAGAAACGAATCTTTTTACCAATGACACCTCATCAAAAAGAACATTTTTGCAAATACTATTTTTCGGAAAATGGTTACTAATATATTAAAAAGATTTTTCCACATATTCCCATAAAATCTCCCTTTTTTAATGTCACCCAATGAAAGTTTTTAATATCCTCGAATTGAACTGTCCGTTCTTCAGGATATTCCAAGCAGTTATTATAAAAACTTCTGGCTTCTTTCAGATAATCAGTTTAATATGGTACCTTGTTGTTCCAAAATGGCGACGTCCTTTCAAATAACTAAAGGAACGTAATCGTTATCAATTCTTTTTTTTATATGATTCTTTATTTAAATTTGTTTTAAAATTATTGATTTCATTTGACACTTCCGTAATTGAAATTTTATCCCCTTCACTAATTTTCACAACATTGTAAAATAATGTAGCTTGGTTGTGGATGAACTGAAGACAAATTTGTGATGTGTCATTTCCAAAAAACCGCTGTGATATACTTGGACATTTATCTTGTGATAAAAAGTATGATTTTAATGGTTCGTATACTTTAAAATATTTTCTACAGCTGTTAAAAGAGCTAGCCATCGTGTTTTGCTGTAACCAATAATTCTTTTATATTCGATTTCTGTGCTTTCACAAATATCCGTCAAACTTTTGATGCACACAATATTATTTATAAAAATACAGATAAATTTTTGAAATAATATTTTTAACATCCACTGGAAGTAAGTCAGATGCCATTTGAATAGTATTGTGTAGAATGTGCGCTGCACAACCCACTCGAAACAATTTTTTGGTTAAAATGTTCGTTAAGTTTCGCAAAAACGTTATTGATGCCACTTCTAGCTTTTCCACCAAAATTTGCATTAGTGTCAACAATAAAATTATTGCCTCCCAATAGGCAATAATTTTATTGTACAATTTATTCTTTTTTAAAATAGTACTTATTGAATCAAAAATTATTTATGAAGTTTCACCCGGCAGCCACCCAGGCGGTATAGTGGTTAGGGAAGTCTGACTGAGATACCGAAGGGACCGAGTTTGAATCGTGGAGAAGGCATGGTTGTAACTGTCTGTCCCTTCATAGGATGCAATGGTCGCCCACCTATTAGGTGGCTCCATAATAAAGAGACCACCACGTTTGGCCTTAGTATAGATTAATGTACTCTGTTACAAAAACTGTAACTGTTCACAATCTGTCATTGGGAAAAAAGTTTCACCCAGCAATGAAACAAAATCTAATATTCTAATTTTAATTCCTGTTTATGGATCAAAAAGTCTAACAATTGTGGGAAATAATTTAAAATCTTTGTGGTTGGAAGCATCATAATATATGGACATAAAATGTGCATTTATCTAATTCTTTCTGCAAGTGTGTAAACGAATATGGTGAAAAAACATTACAAATAATTGCTTCGATTTTTGTCCTCGCAAATTTTTTGTCATGCAATGTTTTGATCATTTGAGACGTACAATCAATTGATCTTGAAACTTTGAATTGTGGTTTACGGTGTGTGGAAAGCAAACAGCCCTTCAGCTTAAGGCTAGCTGTTCCTCCGTTAATAATACATTATTCCTTGACGAGACATAACGACAATGTTCGAACACCACCGAGTAAATCTAACTTGTTACATCGCCTAATTTAGTTTACTCTGCATGCATTTTATGTGTTTTTTTATTTCTTAATATTCACTATAATAATTAATAAATAATAGGTAATATATTTTTAACAGTACATTTAAAATAAGAAATGCTGATGTTTTCTAAAAAGCGGGACATTTATAAAAATCGGCGGGACGCGGTACAGTCCTCCACAAAGCGGGACTGTCCCGCCAAAATCGGGACGTGTGGTCACTTTAGATTATCATCAACAGAATTTCAAGGTCACATTAAGCATATTTAGTTCACACTAAATACTTAGGTGTATTTAGGTCACATTAAGCATGGTTTAGTTTACACTACTAAATACTTAAGTGTGAACCATATTTCCACTGCATATTTTTTAAATTTATTCTAACCTTAACATGAATTGAAATGAAAACTACAGGTTTGGAGTAATTTTGATTCACAAAGTACTAGGACATAAAAAAGGACAATCATTTCATGGATATATATATATATCATTAAAGAAACTGCCAAAATCTAACGTTACATAATTAGTTAACTGCACAGATTTGAATGTTACACAACTGATGGACCGTCAGAAGTTTCAACGTTTATTCTTCCACTCGCACATACACTAGCATCTTACAAATTATCATGACATCCTACAGAGCTAATTTCCATCCTTTAAGCATTGAATTAATTTTAGTAAATTAATTCTTGTGACAACTGCTAGACTTATTTTCAAAATCAGATGTTAATATACAAATAAGTAATATAGCTCAAAGATAAAAAAATACACTGTAGCACTGTGTAAGTATTCAAAAAGAAACTTACTTTAAATATCCTTGCAATCACCAAACCAATGGAAAAGGGAACAAGAAATTAGTATTTCTAAATTTTAAAGCCATAACGAATAAATATACCACTTTCTAGCTTATAATTTGATAACAGTTCATAACCTGTAAACACATATAAATACAATCTTCATCTGTCGCTGCGCAAATAACAAGCACATCATATGTTGTCTGCCGAACCTTCGATGAAAGGATATGGCAATAACGAAAACAGTGCGTAATTCTTCTTTGGGGAAAAAAAAAAAGAATATTGTAAAGTTAAATTTAATTTAAATAATTCTCTTGCACCATTGCTGCAAGGAGTGAAATTTGAATTTAAGAAATATTCTCTATTCGTTCAAAGCTAATAAAAATTCAATTTAAATTTTAATTGCAAAAAAAAATATATATATATTGCTGCGACCTAATTAATTTACAATAACATTTAAATTCTAAGAGCATAAAAATAAAAACCTTTAAATTCTTTTAGAAACATAAAAAGTTCAGATGAAACTTTTTTTGCGTGGAAAATAGTTTGGAATTTTATACTGATATGCTAATTTTTTGGTTAAAAGTATCTTTCTTAATCTTATAATCATTTTATAATTTTAGATGGATAAAAAACGTTTGGATATATTAATAAAATGTATTAAATGAATTAATATGCTTAAAGAGCTTTCAATAACAGATCCAAAATTTCAGAAAATGTGCAGATTAACTTTTTGTAATATGCTTCCATGACCCCTCTTTTTAACAGTGAAGTATATTTCTGTTCAAATATAAGAAAGAGATAAATTGTTTAGAATACATATCAACTATGAGAGGCAAACTATTTAAGAGTAAGGCACAAATTTAAAACAGTTTGAAATACCACCAGATCCAGGATGAAAATTCAATAAAAATATTTCTCAAAAACGGTGCTTTCAATGCAACAGTAATATAACAGTAATTAAGATAAAATTGATTGAGCCTCCAAGGTGTATCTTGAACATTAACATTTTAAGGGATTACAGAATTTTGCCAATGTCCACTCTCATTTCCTCAGAACCCTGCTCCTCTCTCATGAAAACAAGAAACATAAACCTTATTTGAGGTGTTAAAGTAGAAAAAAATTAGCATAATTTTTGCAGGGCTGTTTCAAAAGTTTGAATGTAAGTTAAATCCTGCAGCTGGCGAAGAAGGTTCTATATTCAAACCTTCAAAACTAGTCCTGCAAATTTACAAAAATTAGGCTGATGATTCTTAAGTATCTCCACTAACCGTTATTCGACATGTTAAATGGGAGCGTTACAGTAAGTGGTTACAGCCTCCTGCAAAACTGTGCCTCAGGTCCCAGAGTGTTTCGATATGATCTTGAATTAGGGAACATGAAACACAGAAATGCAAGTATCCAGAAATATATATTGACTACATTTATATGTCGAGACAGAGGCTTTCATAATTTAGAGCTCCCTCATTGAGACGTGGTGCTATTCAGAATGGTACTATATTACTTCGTGCAGAAAGATTTAGCGAGTGTAAAAGGAAACATCTTTTTACTTTCTCTTTCTCTCTATTTTTTTTTCTCTGGTAGTTTCATCAAAGGCTATATGTGTGAAATCTGTTACGAGGATTATAACACGGCTGTCATAGGTGGAGTATAAAACTAAGCTTTAGGTGCAAAGTTTGTTTTCCGAAATTTGCAATAATTTTGCGGCATAACATTACTGATACCGATCAAGATTTCGTTTAAGCATTACGAGATGTGCGTGGTAGGTATTGCATATTATGTGATGAAATGCTTTCCGGTTGGAAATGTACTGTGGAATTTGATCAATAGAACTTTATGCAGTAATTTTATCGCATATGGTGTAAATTAAAGGGTGTTTTCATACATAATAAGTAGTAAATTAAGTTTTTACATAATAAGTAGTTCACATAACTTGTGTAATAAATAAAAAATAGAGGGTTGTCACCTATTACATACAAATATCAGTATATGCAAATATTCAAACGGAAAACTTATTTGAACTTAATAATTATAACTTTAAATTCAGTGAAACCAGTAGTTAAAATAAAATTTAATAATTCCTAGAAAGTCAATTATTGTCTGTAATTGCCTGTAGTCTTCTTAGCATTGATTCTACGAACTTTTTGGTTAAATCTGATGGGGTAGAGTAGACTTTAAGGTACCCCTTGTATTATGGCGAAGTTGTTGTTTGATTTATCACCAAGTTGTTGTTTCATTTATGGTAGCCTGAGTAGTTGAATGGTATGGAAACCCTATTGTGACGTATTCGGGTGCATGATTCTGTGAAATTTTGAATCATGGGATGTTTTGTAAGTGTTTTTGTGGTGTGTGTTGGTTTGATTCTTTAGATGGTAGAATGGCCGAATGTAGTAAGATTAATTTGAAGTTTCTGTACGATTTGGAGCAAAAGGGAAAAAGAGCTTTAATTGACTGGTGTGTAAATGAAGGTTTACTTAGTAGCTATTATAAGTGTCCTGTATGAAGGAAGGTTAGGGTAGGTTATTTAATTACGGCAAAGCCTCAAGGGCCATCTGCCTAAAGGGAGGGATGCCTTCGTGGAAGACTTTTTAAGGGAAACTGGCTCGTTAACACTTTACACATGGGGAAAACCACGAAAACACCCATGCAGCCAGCCCGTTCGCGGGATTCGAACCTCAGACCGAACTACCAGTGTTCAGCGACTTTACCGCTCGGCCGCTGGTGGGCCATATGTAGGAAGGATATGCGTCTAGTCGAATGTAAAAACCATTTAGATGGATTTGAATGGGTTTGTAGGAAGAAAGGTTCAGATGGTCTCTATGTGAAGCATTCGATCAGAAAGAGTACCTGGTTTGAAAAAAGTCATTTGAGTATGATTGATATTTTGATTTTGACGTGGTTCTGGGTGTACGAAGTGAAACTCGAAAATCATCAAGATGGAATATGAATATTAACAATAATAAGATGGTAACGGATTGGAAAAATTTTTGTAGAGATTTATGCGTGGATATTTGTCTTTGGAAAGGTGAAAAGATTGGGGGTTCGGTGAATTATTATTGAAATAGATGAAAGTAAATTTGGAAAGCGAAAGTATAATACAGGTAAACGAGGGGTGGAAAAGTGGGCGTTTGGTGGAATAGATCGAGGGACGGGAAGGTGTTTTTTTTTTGAAGTAGTTGAGGATAGAAAGAAAGAAACTTTATTGGACGTAATCGAAAGAAATATTTTGCCAGGTACAACTATTATATCTGACTGTTGGAAGTCCTATAATTGTCTGTCTGATCATGGGTTCGTTCACCTTTCTGTAAATCATGCACTCACATTTAAAGATCCACAAACGGGAGCTCATATAAATAATATTGAAGGCATGTGGGGTGTGGTGAAGAGAGATTTTCGAAAAAAGTGTCATTGACAGTCGGGAACTACACAGGATATTTTTGACTCGTATTTTTGCGAATTTATATGATGACGTCGATATACAGATTCGAGTTCAGATAATTTTAGGAAGTTTTTGGATGCTGTTAAGGAATTTTGTGTGCCACAGACTAAAGACGAAGGAATTTCTAAATAGGGTAAGTGAATATTTGATTTTGGTAGTGCTTAATTGTATTTCATGTTTTTCCTTTTTTATGGTACTTTTATTGTTTGGTTTAAAATGTATTTTATTGAGATTATGTATTTTTTGTTTGCATATATTGTAGAATTTGATGCTCCTTTGACTTTTTAAGTGAAAATATATCAATGTGTACATGGACAAATTAAAGGGAGTGCGCAAGATCATTTTTGTGCAATTCTGGGTTTTTTTTTAAAGTGAAAATAGGTCGACGTATACATGGATAAAGTCAAAGGAGTGCATCGCCAAGGGGACCCTAAACTATACTTTTACTGATCTGACGATATACGAGGGCTATCCAGAAAGTAGATTACGTTTTGGAATAAAAAAATAAACAAAGTATAGGAAACAAATTTTATTATATACAGATGAAAGCCACACTCAAATACTACTTTTCTACATAGTCACCATACAAATTAAGGCATTTATCGTAGCGATGTACGAGCTTGGAAATTCCTTCGTTGAAAAATTCGGCCGCTTGCACCTTCAACCACTTCGTTACCTCTTCTTGCAGCTGTGCGTCGTCATCAAAACGCTGCATAGCCAGCCACTTCTTCATTGCTGGGAATAGGTGGAAGTCGCTCGGTGCCAGGTCGGGACTGTACGGCGGATGAGGAAACAACTCCCACTTAAAAGATTCAAGAACTTTACGAGTGACATTTGCCGTGTGGGGCCGGGCGTTGTCGTGAATCAACAAGATCTTAGAGCTCAACATTCCTCTGCGCTTGTTTTGAATTGCTCTTCTGAGTTTTTGGAGAGTTTGGCAATACCTTTGAGAGTTTTATTGTAGTGCCTCTTTCCAGGAAGTCCCCCAACCAAAATTACACCTTTTCTGTCCCAAAAAACAGTCTCCATCATCTTCCTTGCCGACATTGTTTGCATGCATTTCTTGGGTTTTTGGGGAGAACTTGTGTGCCCCCACTGCATTGATTGCAATTTCGTTTCACAGTTCACATGTTTCACCCATGTTTCGTCACCAGTAACGATGCGATCGAGTAAAGAGTCACCATCCTTATGGTAAGCGTCCAAAAAGTTCAACGCTGCAGCCATTCGCTGATTTTTGTGGTCCTCTGTCAGATTTTTGGAATCCATCTTGCACAAAACTTGTGGTAACCAAGCTTTTCGCTGATGATTTCGTGCAACAACTTCGCGAAATTTGTGGAAAACTCAAAGAAAGTTCCGTTATTGTGAAATTTTTTCGATTTTCACGGACTTTAGCATCGACTTTTTCGAGAAGTTCGGCGGTCACTATGCTGGGTCTCCCACTTCGATCTTCGTCGTGAACATTGGTTCGGCCATTTTGAAATCTTATGACCCACTGACGCACTCCACCTTCAGTGATAATGTTGTCCCCATACACTTCACGAAGCTACCGATAGATTTCTATCGGTTTACAGTTTTTTGCAGTCAGAAACCTTATTACTGAGCGCAGCTCGCAGCTCGCGGGATTTTCAATTAACGCAGACATTTCAAACCGTCACAATATCTGAACGGAGCACAGCACGAACCTCTCACTAGCACGGCTAGATGCAGACTGAGCTGCGCAACGCTCTGACCCCAAGATGGCCGCGCTAGCCCCGCCCCTAGCGGACACAGACGGAAACGTAATCTACTTCCTGGATGGCCCTCGTATTTTCCCATTTTTCTAAAGAATATGTTCAAATTAATTTTTATTTGAAAATTTATGTTTTGTAGCTCTGTGATCCCCAAAATACTGTCAGTTAGGTTAAGATCAGGTGATTGGGGTGGAGTTTCAGTCTTTGGAGAACTTTATTTAACCTCTTTGTTGTCTGTAACACGTCTAGCGTGTTCAAGTGAAACTTCCGCATGGTGGCCGTAACGCACCTCAAGCGTTCTTCTACATTTTAAAACTTTTAAACGTTTAAAACGCTTTCTAAATGTTTACTTCTTTTGAGTTTTTATTTTTGTTTGTTCTAATACCTCCTAGAAGGTAACACTAATCAGGCATTCTATTTCTAATTGAATTTGCCCCTTGTTTTATGAATATTCGCACCATTTTACATAAGATACAAGACAGTGAGAGATGGCTTCAACATCTACTCAGCAGAAAAAGAGAAAAAATGAGGTTGTGAATTGGAAAGACAAGATGGATATACGTTTGTTGAGTACAGTCCATAATAACTCAATGATTGATGTTGGAACATGGAAAAGAACTGTAAAAAAACAATAATTGTAAAAGATTACAACAACAAAATGGGAGGAGTGGACCGCCTGGATCAGATGTCACCAAATTATTCTGCTGTTACAAATGAACAGAGATATTATTATTTTTCCATTATGCTTTATTTCCTTATAATTTTACTTAATATTCATTGACATTCATCCACTATGAAAATCATGTATGGAAAGTTATGATGTACAAAGAAAACAACATTACACATTATGAAAAACAGACGGCCACTGGAGGGAAATTTTCGCGGACAGGAGAGGACGGCGAAAGGGTTGAGAGGAATTCTTTTGTAACTCTTGCTGTATGTTTAGGGTCATTATCTTGTTAAAAACCAGATGTCATCTTTAATGCCCAGTTGTAACATGTTTTGAAATAAATGATCTTGCAATATCTGTACGTATTTTTTTGCATTTAAAATTCCCTCAACAATAGTCAAATTACCAATTCCATTCCAGCTCATACTGCTGCATGCTATAATGCTGCAATTACAATATAGTATTGGACATACATTAGTAGGATTTAAAGGTGTTTTATCTGGTTGTAACAAAAAGTTTCCTCCAAAAAACATTCTTAATAAAGTTAATGAAAAAAAAATCATAAAAGCAGTATCTTTAGTGTGGGTAGTAATCATCACCCAAATCTATGATTTTCTGCAAATATTTTTCAAAAGTTTCAGCCAAAAACTTGGTGATTGCAAGTCCAAAAGCAGATGAACCTCTTTTTGGACATTCTGTGCAGAATGGAAAATAGCACCAGCAGGATGTAGCTGTAGGTGTGAAAAAAGGTAGAAGTCTCAAGGACCGATGCAGGGCTATATTATGGGTGTGGCATTCAAGTCCATACAGAGGCCAGCTGGTGATTGCAGACACATTTGGTCTTTCATTACCTTGATGGAGCATTACGTTTTTGCGCCAGAACTCAGTTCGACATTTTATGGTTTAAATGCAGAGAACATGATATTTAATGACTAAAGGAAACACACAAAACTTTAAAGAAAAGCCCCTTTGTGTATAATATAAAATCTGAAAGCTTTCATATTTTTTTCCTTATTTATCATTTGGATTTACTTACGCAACGAACCCATTGGCAACAGTGCCTTTTTTTTTTTTGTTGCCTTGCTTGCCAACGGTAATGGTTTGAGTGATATACAGTTAAGTTTTGAAATAAAATATGATATACACCTAAAGCATATATTAGTCAAATTTAATATTGTAAACATGATATTTGATGCATAGTGTGATATTAATAATATGTAAGTTAAACTTAGCTAAAAATTAGCTAATTAAAGCATGTAAGTCAATTGTAGCTTGTTAAATATGATAATTAGTGCAGTTAAAAATTCAGCTAGCAGAGAAGCATGATATTAAGCATATTCAAGTAAAAATTAGCTGGTTAAACATGATATTTACCACAATTAAATTCACGTTTAATTTGGTTGATGAAGTTCAAGAGAGTTTCCACAGAAGACATTGCTGTTTCAGGACTAAAGTAATTGTCAGTATCTTCCTCACTTGTATTTTCATTATAACTCTCTGCTTCTTCTGTTCTTGTAACATGTGAAGCAATATCTGCATCACTTTAACACTGAAAGTCTGGCTCAGTTGAATTGCCATCGATTTGTTTTTTCAATAACCATTGAGGCCCACCAGCATTCGAGTGGTTAACATCGCTGAACACTGGTAGTTCGGTCCGAGGTTTGAATCCCATAAACAAGCTGCCTGCATGGCCATTTTCATGGTTTTCCACGTGTGTAACTTGTATATGAGCTAGTTTCCCTTAGAAAATCCTCCATGAAGGCATTCCTTCCCTTAGGCAGATAGCCCTCGAGGCTTTGCCATAATCACACACACATACGAACAAAGAATGTGTCCTCCTTTCCGACTGAAATAAGTATTCTATATGCACCTCAAAGCTACAACTTTCTGCGCATGCGTCAGGTTAACGCATGCGCGTAAGACCTTTACGGCTGCGAATATGCGTGTGCGCATGCGCAAAATATGTTTATGAATGCGCGTTTAATGTACAATGGACAGTATAAGCTAAGCTAAAATTATCTATTTCAGTTAATGTTGCAGATTGCGTTGTTCCTTAATCTTCGAATTGGATCCGGCTTATTATTTTTTGCAGACTATTAGAGCAATTTTATAAAAGTAAGCTTGAACTTTCGATTATGTGAAATAGAATTTCTAATATATATTTTACTTAATATGTAAAGGATCTACAAAGCGAAAGTATGTTTCGAAGTTCTATTAAACAAAAAGTGGAATTGCTGCAAAAAATGGATAAAGGCATATCCTTTATTTATCTAAACTTTAACGTTTTGTTTATCTTTAATGCTGCGGCACGCAATGAATTGGAAGTTGATCTGTCAGCACTATCCTTATCATTCAGGGCAGATGTTTTTATTTTATTTGGCTTATAATTCCTTATTAAATGTAGTATTTCATCTCGATGTACTCCGTCTTTCATATGATTTAAATCAAATTCCTCGTTATTATAATTCGCTTCCGATAGCGAAGAAAGTGACAGAGGTTATTGAAAACGAAAAAATTTCGATTGACAAATTAGTCAGTATTCTCGACACAGCAATTACAGGACTTGAACAGCGGAACTTTATAACTGAACAAGAAATTATGTCTGTTTATAGAATTAAAGAGAATGTATTATCACATAAAAAAACGAAGCAACTTAAACAACTTACATTGAAAAGAAATGTTTAATAAAGTAAACAAATAAATATTAAGCTTTTTTTTTTTTTTTTTTTTTTTTTGTTAAATTTATTTTGATACCCTTTAGATCATAATTGTTCTTTATTTCATAAATTACGGTTTCATATTTTTAATTTTATAATTTCTGCATGCCATCTTACCAGATTTAAACTAATGATCTATAATCCGGAAAAATCAATAATCCGGAATCGCCCGACGAGTCCGGATTAACCACTTTTGACTGTATATACCCATATACATACATTCCTACAGCTATAGGGCAGAACAGGTTTAACAAATTTTGTTTTTAATTTTTAGCCTATTATTATGTTTCTTTTTATACATACATATCTGAATCCAGTCCCGATAACAGAAAAGTACTTGCAATTCTTTAAAGTATGTTGATATTTTATATTATTATATTTATATTGTTTTTTCAAGTTTAATTTATTTCCTGGCCACATCACTGAAATTGCATTATCCAGTGTGTTAAATGCAGGGTACTTTTTGTCCATCCAATATGCCATTGGTTGTCATTCTTGAGAATGGAAATATACCAGTGTTATAACCAGCACAACGCCCCACCCCTTCTGTCATTCAAAAGGGTTTGTTTTATATATGTGTGTATATATATATATATATATATATATATATATTTGGTATAAAGACTTAAGTTCAACATATGAATTTGTTCTCCTAACATTTTATACTGTTGAAATTGCAGGATACATATTTGTCTCCAAAATTATGGATGAATGATATTGTACTGCTATCGAAGTTTATGAAACAAAGTTAAAATACTGGATTATGATGGATATGGATTCAGAGATAAACAACAAATCAGGTAATATATCGTTCCATACAACTTGTCCTTATGTACTTTACATGTTTTATTTGATCGCAGATTTGTTTGTGCTTTTCATTCTTGCATGCTGTACATGATTATTTTAACTTCACCGTGTTTTCTACCTATCATGTAAACAGCCAAGGATTATTCATAATTATATTTGTCTGTCTTTTTCTTTTAACATATAAGAATTAAATCGAACGTATAAATTTCTTCCCCTTACATTTTACACTGTTTAAAGTGCAGGATACGTTTGTGTCTGCAAAATTATGTACAGTCTGATGACACTTCTTTGAATAAAGAGGAATAAATATATCTTGTATACTGTTCACAGCAGCTATAGAAACAACATAGCATATTTCACTTATACAATTTGTGTGAAGGCAATTTAAGTTACAAAAAGCAATAGTATTATTATTTTGATACCTTGTTTCCCTTACATTTTTCTTTATAAAATACAGTAAGAGCATAAACATAATACAGTCAAAAGTCGTTAATCCGGACACCCATAATCCAGAATGATCTATAATCCGGACCTCAAAGCTACAAACTTTCTGTGCATGTATCAATGCATAATACATTGACACATGCGCGTAATACCTTTACGTTTGCGCATATGCGTGTACACATGCGCATAATACGTTTATGCATGCGCGTTTAATGTATAACGAACGGTATAAGCTAAAATTATCTAATTATCTATTTCAGTTAATGTTGCAGATTGTGTTGTTCCTTAATCTTCGAATTAGATCCAGCTTATTATTTTTTGCAGACTGTTAGAGCAATTTTATAAAAGTAAGTTGGAACTTTCGATTATGTCAAATAGAATTTCTGATGCTGGGTCTACAAAGGGAAAGCATGTTTCGATGTCCATTAAACAAAAAGTGGAATTGCTGCAAAAAAATGGATAAAGGCTCCTTTGTTTCTCTAATCATTCTGAAATCTGTTTATCAATTTCACACTGCTCTGCGCGGGGGGGGGGGGGGGGGCGTAGCGGCGCGCAGTGAACTGGAAGTTGATCTGTCAGCACTATCCTTATCTTCAGTGCAGATGTTTTTATTTTATTTGGCTTATAATTCCTTACTAAATGTAGTATTTCATCTCAATGTACTCCATCTTGGATATGATTTAAATCAAATTCCTCATTATTATAAATATCACAAATACAAATCAAATTGTTTTCTGGTTGCAATTTTCTAATTTGGACTATGTGTAATGTATGCTTTACGCATGCGCTTTGAAAGAAATCTTTAATAAAGTAAACAAATAAATATTAAGCCTTTTTTTTTTTTTTTAATTTTGATACCCTTTAGATCAGCGGTTCCCAACCACTGTTCCGCGGCACACCAATGTGCCGCCGGGTCTGGGTGTCACGGTGCTGTTCGCCCGCTATAACTCCTCCCGTCACTCCCCCCGCCAGTGTCATAGGTGGTCACGGCGCTGTGCAGTGCTATAACTCCTCCCCCTGCCAATCTTGACAAGTGTCCGCCGTGTCCCCACCCCCATGAGACGCAGGCAGACGCCTCACACAGTGTCAGAGAGACAACGGCTGCTGTGAGGAGAGAGACACTGATACTGCAGTGATGGACAAGTTTTTGAAAAGGAAAGAACTGGACTCTGAACAAAATCTGGAGCCAGATGAGAGCCCGAGTATGAGTAGGGGTCAAAAGAAAGCAAAGATGGTTAAATTCTCTGGCGCAAGGCAATATAGCGAAAGCTATATTTCAGTTGGATTTACTTTCACTGGAGATGAACATAAACCAACTCCACTGTGCGTGGTGTGTGGTGAAAAGCTAGCTAACAGTGCTATGGTCCCAAGCAAACTTAAACGCCATCTCCAAACGAAACACCCTTTGCTTCAAAACAAGAATGTGGACTATTTTGTTCGCCTGCGTGACAACATGGAGAAACAGGCAACTTTTATGAGAAAAACAACAAAGGAAAATGAAAGAGCTCTTAAAGCTAGCTATCAAGTTGCTGAACTTATAGCCAAGACAAAAAAGTCGCACACTGTGGCAGAGACATTAATATTTCCTGCCTGCAAAGCTATTGTAGAGGAGATGCTCGGACCTGAAGCAGCAAAGGAAATAGCCAAAGTCCCTCTCTCAAACAACACAATTTCCAGACGTATTGATGACATGTCTGCAGACATCGAAAGTGTGGTTTTGGAAAAGATCCGTATCAGTGAGAAATTTGCATTGCAACTTGACGAGTCTACTGATATCAGTGGACATGCTCAACTCTTAGCTAATGTGCGTTTTGTTGATGGTGATGCAATTAGAGAAAACTTCTTTTTTTGCAAGGTATTGCCAGAAAAAAACACAGGAGAAGAAATTTTTCAGGTCACATCAGAATACCTTGAACAAGGAGGACTTAAGTGGGAAAACTGCACAAGTGTCTGCACCGATGGAGCTGCAGCCATGGTCGGGCGCACCAAAGGCTTTGTAAGCAGAGTGAAGGAAAGAAATCCAGATGTGATTATTACGCATTGTTTTTTACACCGCGAGGCCCTCGTAGCCAAGACTTTACCATCAGCCTTAGTTCATGTGTTGGATGATGTTGTGCGCATGGTAAACATTGTAAAGTCACGACCCATGAAAAGTCACATATTTGCAGCTTTGTGTGAGGAGATGGGAACAAAGCATAAAACCTTGCTGTTTCATACGGAGGTCTGGTGGTTGTCGCGTGGCAAGGTCTTGGTTCGTGTGTATGAGCTGCGGGAGGAACTTAAAGTGTTTCTGACAAATGAGGGGTCAGATTACGCAAAGCAGCTTGCAAGTGATGAGTGGTGTGTAAGGCTGGCATACCTGGCAGATATATTTCATTATCTGAATGAATTGAACACCCGAATGCAAGGCCGAAATGAAAACCTGCTTACAAGTACAGATAAAATAAATGGATTCCGTTCAAAGGTGCAACTCTGGCATCAACACGTGGAAAGTGGCAATCTTGAAGTGTTCACACTCACCATGCAATGGCAAGGTGTTCACACTGCTGCACTGTGTGAGATAATAGTTAAGCATTTAAAAACTCTTGAGGAGAAGTTGTCATTTTATTTCTCTTCAGTCTCCACTGAATGCCTTGACTGGGTTAGGGACCCTTATAGCTCAGCATCAGTTGTTGGAAAGGAAATGACTTTACAGGAGCAGGAGGAACTAATTGAACTGAGACAAAATCGTGGTTGCAAGCTAAGATTTGCTGATCTACCTTTGGACAGTTTTTGGTTGGATACTGCCAAGGAGTTCCCCCTTCTGGCAAACAAAGCTATTTTGACATTGCTCCCTTTTTCCACTACATATCTGTGTGAGATTAGCTTTTCAGCATGATTGCTATGAAAACCAAATACAGAGAGAGACTGAGAACTGTTGACGAAGAGCTACGTGTGTGTCTTTCTTCTTTCTTCGATTCCAGCCAGAATATCAGCTTTGTGTTCAGCCAAACAGGCCCAGGTTTCACACTGAAAGTATTTTATAATTTTTCACTATTCTGTTTACTTAATATTTCATAATAAAGTAATTATAAAATACTTTCTTTGGGCTTATTTGATTCCTATTCAAGAGAATTACTTTATTATAGTCAATATAGGCACAGAGTTAATTTTTTAACATTTTCTAATGGTGGTGTGCCTCGTGATTTTTTTCCCCGCGACAAGTGTGCCTTGGCCAAAAAAGGTTGGGAAACGCTGCTTTAGATCATAATTGCTCTTTATTTCATAAATTATGATTTCATATTTTTAATTTTATAATTTCTGCATGCCATCTTACCAGATTTAAACTGATGATCTATAATCCACAAAAATTGATAATCCGGAATCACTGAAGTCCCGACGAGTCCGAATTAAAGACTTTTGACTGTATAAATAATTTCACATAAGTAAAAAGGATGACAATGAGACTAAAAATATGAACAAAAGTTTTGAAATGTACGAGGTGTGATACACACACACACAAAAAAAGGATACTGGCCCAATAAATCATCGTACTTACAGAATCAGTTCTCCGTGACATTATCACCTTCAAAATAGTCCCCTTCAGCATTCACACAGTTCTGCATTCGGTGTTGCCATTGCTGGTAACAGTTCTGGAATGAAGTTTTTGGAAGACCCTTCAGGAGATTCTCCGTTTTTGTCTGAACCTCTTCAGCTGAGGTAAAATGGCTTCCTGTTAAGCAAGATTTAACTTTAGGAAATTAAAAAAAGTTGCATGTAGCCAAATGAGGTGAATAAGGAGGATGCCACATCACAGTAATGTTTTTGCTGGTCAGAAACTGCTTGACAGATAGGGCTGTGTGAGCGGGTGCATTGTCCTGCTGCAACAGCCATCCATCACTCCACAACTGTGGCCTTTTTTACCTAATTTTTTTCATGAAGTCCTTTTAGTACTTCAATGTAGCATTGCTGATTAATAGTCTGGCCACTGGGAACCCACTCAATTCTATTAATATTGAAGAAAACAGTTAACATTTCCTTGAATTTTGATTTTGACATGCATGCTTTGTTCCTTTTTCTTGAAAACTACTTATGCCATTCAAACATATGAGCACGAGACAAAGTTTCATCTCCTCAGTTAACATTTGAAATGTTTCCGTGGCTGATCTCTTAAGTTTTACAAGAAACCTGATGTTGATTCGCTGTTCGGTTTTTTTACATTAGTGTTGCACATGTTCACTCAATGATGCAGCATTCCCAACTGGTGTGATTGGTTAAGTCGAAAGTGGCCGCATAGATAGAGGAGGTGTGTGGGATGATGTCACCAAAACAGTTGTTGCCAACTCCATTCTTTTTTTCAAGCTACACAGTCTCATTTTTTCTTGTGTGGTTTATTAGATTTATTTTATTTATGTTTTGTTATTTTTTATATTTTTCAATTTTACAAATATAAAACAAGTTTTCAGAAACAAAGTCTCAGATTCTAATTAAACAAAAATACTATTTTAATTTATATTCCCTGTCATTGCTGTGCTTGATATATTATTTTCAATATTTTTTTCTCGCACAC